GTTCTCAGAGCAACACTGGTTGGAAATGGGAAAGCCTCTGGAAGGAATGGAATAGGGATACCACATCAACTACCAAGTTGAGGATACGTTGTGAAGGAAACCTGGAGCTGCCACGGTTCATTGCCCTTGTGGCCATGTAATGGCCAACTCTGCCCGACCAGTATGGCCATCGAAGGCCTTGCAGGATTTGGCACGTGCCGTAGGTGCAAATTTGCCACTGTGGCTTAGGATTATGCTAACATGATACTCTAGAATCGTACGCGTTTAACTTCCTTTCAAAGGACTTGGCTCTCAGCAAAAGTGGCTAACTGCAACCCAAAAAAAGGTCGTAAAGAAGTATACAGAGTTCCTTCATGGGAATCCGTGTGAGCATCGGAAAGTCTGCTTGAGGACAATATGACGAAGGACAGGGGTCTGCGGGACATAGAGCAATGGCTGCAACATCGGGCAAGGTTGACATCTCTGAGCCTCTCATTCAGGAGCTTCTTGACAACAAGCAGCTCACGGATGTGACTGTGGTCAAAGCAACGGAAATGATCACCGCGACGTTTAGCGGCTAAATACGGTTCGAAATGCTCACCAAGGTATCTTAATACTCTCAGTATACTATATACTCACGCTAATATGGCTGATAGTAATCGAAAGCTAGGTGTTTCTTCCACTTAACCCTCGAGACCCCGAACCATTCCACGATATTGCCAGACAGATTTTAAGCGTTGACCATCCTTCTTTGAGACATTCGAACAACAACATTGAGTGGAGTGATGCCGTTCTTATAAGCATTAAGACGGAACGGTTCTTGGGGTATAAGGACGAGATCAATAAGGCGAAGATGTGTGGTTACCAGAAGCTGCTAAAATCGCATATCACAAGGTGGCCCAACGCATCCGGGTGACAAAGTAGGCGCGCGCCCCTTTTATCACAATGCGTGATAGTGGCAACTACCTCCTAGGCTATATATGCCGGAGGTGGCGTGAACAGAACGAGGACGGGGAGGTCGCACAAGGAACGCCAGGAGGAATGTGCCATTTCTATTGACCGGGTTCACCGCTAGGCGGTTACAACCACAACAGCACGGGGATAGGATTACCGGTAACCAAGTAAATAATCACGTGTCGGGGGAGTGGGTTAGGTGGAGAGGATGGAGAGACTGAAGGAGGTTCCGCCTTCATCAGGGACATCGAAATAGGAAATAACGGAGATCGATCCCTGTGAGATAATTTCACTGAAGATGAGAGGCTCTTCCAACAGTCGAAAGTGGCTAGGAAAGGCCATGTCGAGCTCCGTACTTGAGCGCAAGAAGGAGCCCATGCTCACCTCTATTTGTATTCAAATCAAAGGGCCTTCTAAAGTGTATTTACAAGCATGTCTAATAGAAGCATGTCTAATAAAATGCCCCGCATGAATTTCACTAGTCCACTTAGGGTCAGGTTTCTCTACTTGTATGACCACCCAGCCTAGTCCCAAACGGCCACTCTTGTGAATTCTTGTTGCAATTGGTGACTTCGGGACGGCTGAATACATATATCGGATAATGACTGACACTAGGAACCTTTCCCTTTCCGTCTTAGTGCTGACCTTTTGCCGACTTTTAATCACTGAGTGGTTAGACCTCAGGAGAACGTCCCTGAGTACCCTGATTCGATCACGGGCTATTACGCCCCCCAGGTGCTCACTGAGCATCACCTGATCATCCCTGAGCACTCTTGATTTGCTCAGTGCTCACTAGTGCTCAAAGTGCTCACGGGTTCTACGGGGGTAGGGATGAGCGGCCTGAGTGAGCTATATCAATAAAATGCCACGCAATCTAACACGAATCGGGCGTACGACAATGTATGGGTTACCTCAGTGGTATTAATTCTCTAACCAAACGAGAACCCCAACAGACATGACGACTAACTATACATTCAAACCATCCATGGATGGATCCATACGCCGTCGATGGGTATAACAGCGCTTTAAAATACTCCTGTCCTATAAAGTCGACATATAAACGCAGGAACGAATTCCCAAAGTAAGGTGGATAGCACTCTCCCTCAGTAATGCTACATGCTGCATTATTAGTAGACAATATATATAACTTGTTTCCTGCGAATCCCTCAAGAAAGATACTCAGAGCGGTCTGATCACTTGGTATCTGTGTGAGCCTTTCGGCTCTCTAGGAAGGATGGATTTGATATCAAAGCAAGCAGGCTACTGAATATTCATAACTGAAGAGGCTAATGTGGGATCAAACTATTGAGTAAAAAAATACGAGGAGCAACGCACTGCATTTTCTTGAGGTGAACTTGGAATAATTTGGTCTGAGTTCCTGTTCCCACTGTCCATGATTCTGTTGGAGGATTGACATAGCTGTTTCTCGTCCTACACAGTATCCCTTTGCGTCTAATAGATGCCAGACCTCTCAATTCCAAGGCGCGAAATACTTACTTCATGGCATTGCAAGTTACCTACGAATAAAACGCACGCAAACTCCGACAACTATTCCGATGATCGCTCCAACCACAATCCCTATAGCTGCCCAAACCACATAATACTTGATCACTCGCTTTTTAGAGCCGGTATGCCACTCCACCCTCGAGTCTTCCATAGTTATAATGGCTCGTTTCCCACGCAGATCACGAGGCTCTTCCAGATCCATGGAATGTGTTATATGTGTACTCGCGTGAGCTTGTTCGGGGCTGGTCGGTCCCATGATGGCAAGGCAGCGCTGATCTGGCCTTGATCATAAACGTCAAGCTTGATGGTTGTCAACGACCGCGTCTTTCAGAGTTTTGAGGAAGGTGCTTTATGTTGAAACTGACATATTTCCTTGGGTGCGAAATTTGCGGTCATCTGCTTTGTGTGTCCGAATCACGCAGGGTATGATATTCGAGAACTGCCACGGAACTGACTCGGTGATGCTGTGGACAGAATGAGTCACACACTCTGTGTGATATAGAGGCATGGCTTCTGCGTACCTGGTTAAATCGCTTCAAAAGTCGAACTGCTACTTTACTCAAAGGCATCCAGAAGGCGAAGGGTTCTGTGTAGCGGAGACACTCGAGGTATTTACCTAGACTCCGTTTTCAACCCAACGCATTATGTAAGAAATAACTCACACATGCCCAGATGGGCACCTGGGACCGAATAGTGCTCGCTAAACCAGGCAAGGCGCTAGTTGACTATTGCTACAAAGAAGATCTACGGACGACAGTTCCATCGAGACCGACACTAGAGACTCTGTTATGGAGGCCAGGATGCGGAAGTCACCCGAGTTCCACAAGTGAAACAGATACATTGCACAGCCCCTCTGCCCCACTGCTTGCCGGGGGCCGTCGAGCGTGGGGCGTCCGTCAATTATATGTGGTGGTGATCGACAGCCAAGCGCGTAGCGCGACATCAAATTGATTTAGGGGATTGGTATAGGGACGGCTCTGTAACGGGACCACTCGGGCACCGATACAATGAGATTGCTACGTATTGGCGGGGCCTGGGCCAACTACTCCGTAGATTACCACGGTCTGTCAAGGATAGTAATTACTGACCGTCAGGTACATTGAATATGGGACAATGCTAAGTTCTTGAAACCACACCCCTTGGTTTTCATGTAAGAATGAAATTTTGTGCTTTGACAATTAAAAATTATTCAAAGCCTTCAAAGGAGTCCTGGTTTTCCATTTCCTGAAACACGTAATAGGCCTTTGGGTATTGCCATTTTGGCACAACGCAGAAGAAAAACCCAAGGAGCCAGGTGAAGCCAAAAAATTTTCGAGCTCTAACTGACAGAAGTATTTGGCGCATTAGACTGTTGCTCCGCCCTTTCCGAAACGGAGCGATGACTGGCACTATAATTGTTTCGAGTGCAGCGGCTCCAAAGTTGGCCAAGAAGAAAACAAAATCTGCTGTCGGACAACAAGGCTCTTTTGCCTGCCAATCTGCAATAGCGTGGTAAATAGCGGACAGGAAAAAGGTCCAGAATGCGACGAAAAGCTTTTCAGCTCGTGAACCGGGTGAAAATACTGCTACTCGCCGAGCGAAGAATTTCCCAGTAGAATTGTAGAATGGGACCGTCAATCTATGCCAAAACCTAACCCAAAATCGTCGGACAGTGTATGCCTTCAGCGGGCTACCAAAGAACGACGGCCACTCCTCGGGAGTATCAATGCGTAAGATCGAAACAAAAAGAATTGATAGCAGAACATGGCAAGTATCAAGCATCAAATATCCTACTCAAATCCAGAATACCGACACAAATAAGCGGATTTGGATTTCACGTGAATCAATCTTTGGCTCTATACTCGGCATAGCAAGCGCCTAAACAAGACTTGGCGGGGTGGCGCAAAGTCATGTGCTTCGAAGCCAAAGTATAGAAGCGTAAAGGGCGTGATCAAGCACAAATGCAATCGCCAGCATATAATAACGTTAAATAATCGTCTCGCGGCAAAGAAGGCTCTATTCGATGAGGTGCCAAGTGAAACTGTGTGTAAGAAATATTCCAATCGATCCGACGCTGAGGATCGGCCCAGCTCTTGTATGCAGATGTCCATGGTGAAGCATCCTGGGGAAGTTTCAGCTGTTCGAAAAACAATGTACTTGCTGCATGTAGAATCCAGATGCAGTTAAGAAGTGCCCAAAGTCCATTCACCCGGGTGTGAGGCCTAAGGCAATAGCTGGTATGGAGCGAATATATGGCAGTACCAAATAGAAAGGGAGAGCTCAGAAGACGAGCCCGGAAAGGCAGCTGAATTGCAACGAGGAAAATGAAGGTTGAAAGTATGAAAAATGCTGATGAGACGAGCAGTTCTAACAGGGACATGATGACTTGTGTCCGACTACCAAAGCAACATATGTTTTCGAGGATTGAGGAGGATCAAGAGAGTGGAATAAAGAACTCGCGTAGATATTCCGTACCCGACGTTCTGAGACAACCTTACCTCCACCTAATGGCCCCCAAGTCAAATCCTGTGGCAGGGGTGCGAAAATCGCTCATGATCATCATTCAATTCCACTATATAAAACTAGCCGCAAAGGCCCACAACCACCAAGGTAGCCACTCCGGGATACAGGAATAATATCGGGTTCTCCCTTAGTGCCAGGGCGACTCTCCCGATGTAGGGCACATGGATCCAGACCAAACCGATGATCTCTTCTCGATGGACGTACGATCGCCCCCACTGGATAAAAGAATCTGTCGTCGAATGGACAGTTATCGCCCTTGGTCAATATAAGTTGCCTTGCGAGGATCAGTATTGCCCAACGAATACAATGTAGAGCGCGAGATACCTTAGAATGCCTTCTTTCCCATTATCGGATCCGTTGAGGACTTCGATAGCTCGATGGACCATTGGCAGACGACGCCCAAAAAACCCTACCACCGAAATATCTCCCACATTGACTTCTCGTGCATTATTCCATAGCAGGATTAGATCGCCTCGGTAGAATACTGGCTCCATCGACTCCGACGAAACCACCATGATTGGATATGACGAGCCTGTGATCACGCACATGCCCTTCCAGGCTGATATAATGAGTCCTGTGAATAAACCAATGGCCGACAAGGCATCGCCAATGCGTTTGAGGCTGAAGTTCGAGCTCATCGTTGGAGACATTGCTGCTCATAGAGGAAGTAGGTTGGTAGGTATGTCGAGGGGCGAGAGTCTCAGAGTCCGGAATATAGGAAGTAGGCTGACGCATACCCGTCCATTCCCTCTCCAAGAGACTTTATAGGTTTTACAAAAGCTCCACAAGAGATCCGTTCTTTTCCGGAGGGGCTGCATCTCGATTGTAACCTTGGCGCCTAGTGCCAAGGGCAGGTAATTGAAATTTCCCACTAAATTCCTAGAAGGAAGTACATGGAGTAGGGTCAAGGCAAATTGGGTCAATCTAACATCTCAACTCCCAAACAATATCAGGATCTGGAAAGATATAAGAGGGCCCATATCTCGGCTTTGGGGGCCATTTATTTAGTCTCTCTCTATTCATTTACTGGCTTCTCATCCTAATCAACTTCCTTCCGCTATCCTTAGTGAATCCCAACTTAAGATGCATAACGCAGCAATTCTCGGTGGCGCCTCTATGGTTGCTCTCTCCATGATTCCTCCTGCCCAGCCCCCATTCCCGTGGCCATTGCCCTCGGAGCTCCTCTTGCTGGCGGCCTGACCTATATCGGCATCCAATCCAACATCTCCCCCTACGGGTACGGCCCTGATCTACGGAAGTGCAGCAATGTTGCTCGTGTCAATGGCTACCCCGGTGTCTCACAGGAGGTATGGGACCAGTGCCAGAATTCCAACAATGGTGGAAAGGTCAAGGTCACCCAGACCGCTGAGAAAAGTAAGTCAAACCCAAAGCAGTATGTGTTGTCTTCTTCCCTGACAGTATCCATATGCTTCCGCCTAGACGGTGTCACCCCTGAGTGCATGAACCTGGCTGCACTGTTCACTGAAGGCGGCACTGTCTACCCCTGCGGCTCTGCGTGCCTTCAGTATGAGAAACTGAGCGACGTCAAGAACCTGAAGGACACTATCCAGAACCTTCTGGAGTAAGCTCAGTCTTTACTGTCTATCGAGCTTACAGTTGCTGTCTGTGCAAGCTCTTGGCTTCCTTCCGCACAAGCGGGTGGTGTTTCAACACTACACACAAATACATAGCTGGGCGGTACTTCGTGGCATACATTCTTTTAAGGGGTATCTAATCACCAGTTGAGCCACGATGTTTTGAATGTTCTTATATGCATGTCAGATTAAATCAGAACAGCCCTTCAGGGAACACAAACAAATACGAACTGTTATTTGAAGCGATCTTTTGTTGAATGCAGAGATTATCGAGTTGGGTGGGGAGCAACAGTAGAGTCCTGTAGAGTCCTAAAGACAGTCCTCATGACACTAGCTCAAATCCTCTTGACAAGATCACATCTAGTTTGGAATCATTCCATTTGGTATCACTATGCTCTCCTCTTCTACGATTCATATAACGACCTTGTACCTTGACCAATGAAGCCGAGTCGAAGCTCTTATCCTCCGTGTACAGGTAAAATCCGTCTTAGCCTAGATGCATCTGATTTTTCCCTCGGAACAGAAAGCTCTAGATACGAAGATACATCCAAGGCAACATCAGTATTGTGAGCTTTGTGTCATTCTGTCGTACATAACAGTATTAAGTCCCCTTAACAGTGGTTTCAGAGCGAGCCTATGACTTGAGGACTTGAAAATGAGAAGAAAGAGAGGGAAAAATTGAACAGGGGTTAGACAAACTCGATGCGCCTCATTGAAGACGGGCACATTCGGAACTCGCGTAAATTTAATGATTGCAGGTTTCAAAGATGCATCTAACAGCCTCTACATTATTGTTGCTTTAATATGCCCTACCCATACGCTTAAGTCAGGCCTAACTGTATCTAGAATATCGAGTCATGGACCACCCACATACAGAGTAGAGATAAACCAATTTAAGATGGCGTCGCCCGACGTGCTTGGCTGCTGATCACCACCCCATACAATTCTCTCAGTGACGCCCCACTCCCGCTCTACGGCCCCGAGTAAGTGTACAACTAGTACTCCGTATTTGTTAAGAATTGGCGAACTGGAGTTCCCCCAATACGGGAGTCTCCGGTGGTGGGGTCTCTGAGAACCATTTCTGACTTCCACTTGGCCTCAATTTATCGGTCGCTAGAGCAGGTGAAGCGAGAGAGGCCACAACGCCATGGCCGAAACAGAGGATCAATGCACGATGACGTACCTGTTAATCTAAACAAGGCGGTGGTGGAGCCCGCAGGAATGTATCAGGCGGCTATTAAAGTGAACTTTCTCCAGCCACCGTTCAAATCCATCCACGCCCCGGGAGAGCAGGGCGAGGAAGAAAAAACTGTTCCACTTCCTCATTCACTTCGTACCTCGTCGGCTGTTCATCTCGTATGTTCTCCCACAACTCCTTAAATGCTAGTGCTACAAGCTAATATCGCGTTACCGACCTAGTCAGGGAATCAGCAAACTCTCGCTTCTTATCAAGCCAATCATTGTTGCTAGTCTAAAGGTCTTATATCTATTTATATCCAGTCTTTCAATGAAGTTGTACCCGGAAGATACCCCTTTACGCAATTATGGATTGGTTGAGGAGGCTGTTCACGGGGAAGTCTTCTGCGAAAGCAGCAGAACGAAAAGCAAAAAAGGGAGCGAGCAGGAGACACAGTAAAAGAGTTCGTGCGCGGGAGAAGGAGCTCCGATGTGCGAAGGAACATAATGGATCCAGAAAGCCGAGCTTTTTTTGGGGATCGCCAGGCCAGACATACGAGAATAATGTTCGTGGTCCGGATGAACAAATTTGGATAATAAAGCCTTATTAGTGTTTTCGACTAAGATCGTCATCTATTTTAAATGCGGCGATCCAAGCCGGGTTTGCTGGAGTAATCTTCTATGTATGTCTTTGACGTCGAGTGCAAAAAGTTAGCTTTCTCGAACTGACCAAAGCAATACAATATGGATGGATAGATGGGTGGATGGGTGGCTTCAGTGAGATTCCTAACACCATGAGGCCTCACTGTCTGACTTGCCAGTCAAGAAGCGTGCTACCAGCGCTAGACCTCCTTCAAACTCGCTTTCCATGTAATTCTTCATAAAGGCGAACTACAATTCATCTCGGTTGTGGATGCGCGCCTAAAGCTATGTCTATAAATACTAGGCAATCTACATAGTACAGATACACAGACCTGAACAATCGCCTTCTCAGGGTGATGCTTCAATTAGACAGATTATATTTTCAACGAACTAGATATATCTTTATCTCTGCATATGTCGTCTACACTTCATAAGCAAACTCAGAGCCTCGCCGAGGCCTTCCGCGGCCTAGTAGCCGTTGTTGTTTCTATGCTGCCGTCATGGTGCTCTTTTTTTCGAAACCTTTGTGCTTTGACGAAACCCAAGACAGCTTCCACTGTCTTGGTCCACGAAGCGCGGTCAATCTTACCTCTTCTCTCTTCTACCAGGCCATCTAACAGCGTTGAAATGCTACTAAATGCGTCGATAAGCTGTGAATGACATTTCCCGCTCGCCATAGACGTACATATCGTCGTCGCGGAATCGGAACGGCTTTACGTACGCCGATATGTGATGTTTTGTCCGTGTCACAAAGTCTCAGTTCTCTCAGATCGCATTTTCAATACAACATAGTAATAAACGGTTTGATTATTCCCAATGCCTTACGACTGAAACCAGTCCGATATTTCATATGTAAGGATTCAATGACCAGCCCGGCGCAATCGCTAACCGTCCACACCTCGGCTCGTCCCCATTGGTGCTCGCCCCACAGACCCCAAATTATCGGCAACCTCCGGCAGTCGCGCACATATTGGGACTGCGGAGCCTCCGATCCTTCTTTCCGCAACATCTGGGGTAATGCCGTATACGTCTCGACATGCCTAGGAAACCCACACCAGCGGCCAAGCAGCGGGTTCGCACTGGTTGCCTGACCTGTCGGAAAAGGAGAAGAAAATGTACGCGTCACGTGGTTTGCTCTTTTTTGTGATCAGAACTGACGGTTTGACGTTGTAGGTGATGAGCAGAAACCGAGCTGTGCTAACTGTGAGGTCAAGGGCTTCACGTGTAAATATAGCTCCGATTTGGCGTTCGTGTCGCAGCGTGAGGGGGTTGTTCCCGGTGCGTCGAGACAGGCGTATAGAAGTATCACAGTAAGTACGGAGTACTCTGAATCGACTTGAGTTTCAAGTTCACCGCACGATGTGATCATATTATAAGGATGCGATGCTAATTCCGATTAGTTTGTCGATGATTCGCCCCTTGCAGCCGCAAATAAAGAGAAACAAAAGCCCCCGCCGAGGTCTACAGATGATTCCCAGAGTGATGGCAATACTGGTTTCTCTTTAGACGGATTGCAGTCTTCTGCTGATGGCCCCGATGATCCCGGGGATGCGCGTCGTGCCTTTGAATTCCAAGACATATTGTCATCGGAGGTCCCCAATGTCGACTTTCCTGAGCCTCCAATCCCCCTTGTCGGAGAACCGAGTGCGCCGGGTACTCGCTATATGAACAGTGCTCCATATTTTGGATGCCGATCCCGCATCAGCAACAGAACAGTTGAACGACGAGGAGCTCTTGCGAGTGGCAATCCTGAGACCGACCTGCTTCGACATTTCCGGTACCACGTTGGTCCTTGGATCGATACCGGGGACCCTGAGCTCCCATTCGGACTGCAGGTTCTTCTGCTCTCACGAACAAACAGAGCTCTGCAAGCAGCGGTCCTTGCACTGTCTGCAGGTCAACGACTTCTCGTTGCATCCCCGAATAGCAAGGACCTGGAAAGCAGCCAGCAGTTCCGAAAGGAAGCGGAAGAAAGTCTAGCGCTTGAATATGATCTGGCTAGATATGCTGGCCATACCCTCTTGATGCTTCAAGACGCTCTGCCTGCTGGACCGCAGCAGTGGAGAAGCCTCCTGGTTCACAAAATAGAGCATATAAGTGACTTCGCGTCACGAGCAATGGGAGAAGAGGTTGGGGACGCTTTGTTATGGCTTTGCTTTCGACTGGGTAGGGGAACTTCTAATGACTTAAAGAACAACCCAGTGGACTAACGAGCGCACTTTACAGACCTCGCAGGCTCAATATCCTCTTCAAAGCCACCACTTATGCCCTTTCGATCATTGTTACGACGAGATGGAACCTTGTTGCACAACCAACAATCCATGCAGCCTCAGACGGTCAATTCCGTATACAAGCACATATTGTGTCTGCTAGGACACTGTCTAGCGTTAATACACGGTGATCGAGAAATTGCCTCTCCGCATACAGTCCCATCACCAGCATTCCCATCTTTACGACAGTCACACTCCCTATCACAATGGACATTCCTCTGGTCAGACTGCCAGAAATGGTACAATGAGCGACCAGTAAACGTTCAGCAGATCGTGGACATTCGCGGTGGTGAAGCTGACCAAATCGACCCTGAGCACGACTCCTCATTTCCAATCCTTATCTACACGACGCCAATGGCGCTGGTCGCCAACGCCGTCTACCACATGATCTCCCTCTTATTGCTAACGCATAAGCCTCGACTTTTGAAATCACTGCCCGGACCGAGGTCGGTCACCTCGCATATCTGGCACGCGCAGTCCATTGCTGGGATCGCAGCAAGTAATGACTCCCCCGAACAATGGGATCCGATCTTGGTTGCGAGCCTTCTTACTATTGCCAAGGAGATGACGCATGAATCACAACAATCGGTTCTACTAGACCGTTTTTCCAGGATCACAGCCACGACAGGCATAAAACTGGACCGAGAGACGGAGGCGCTTCAAGCAGCTTGGAATCTGGCCCGATACGAGGAGGAATTCGACGATGAAGCGGACGCTATGATTTCATAATTATACCCAAAACGCCATGTCTATTATTCTGTTCTATCATTCTTTCTTCATCAAGTGTACCCATATTCACATTCCATCATTTGATTCCTTCATTCCATGTCGTACGCAAAGGGAATACTCTGCATAGCACCCCGTCTCTGCACACACATAGCAGCAGCAGCATTCGCCTTCGAAACCGCACCCTCAATATCATCATCAAACTCCCCCGAGCTCCGTCCTGTCGCCAAGAAACGCGCCACAGCAGTCGCGAAGTACCCAACAAACGTATCCCCCGCCGCAGTTGTATCGACAACCTTAGAAACCTTAACACCAGCAACAATACCTGTGCGACCCGTCTTTGTCGAGAAATAAACCCCCTTCGCACCAAGTGTAATAAGAACAATCTCAACGCCCGCTCGCTCATGGAACCGTGGCGCCAACTCCTCAGGTCGTAAATCATCCCCCTCAAGAACATCCCCAACAGGAAGACCCTCAATCGACCTCGCCATCTGCACAACCTCCGTCTCATTCATAATAAGCACAGCGGTCCCACGCAGCGCCGAAAGCGGAATCCCCTCTGGGAACACAGGCGCCGGATTGAAAACCACTTTCGCGCGCTCCTCGCCAGAACAATCATTGAAATACTCGAGCAAACCCAGCGTCGTGGAGCGCGGGATCTCGCCCTGCAAAACGACGATATCGGGTGTAGACGGGTAACTCTTGAGCGCAGTGAGAACATTGTCTACGGAACTCAGCAGTCCGGCATGGTTTGCGCCGGGAACGACGAGAATCCTGTTCTCGCCTCCAATAGCTTCTTCCACGATAATGCTAGCCGACCCAGTCTGTGCGACAGTCGATTGCTCAATGGATGTTGTGTCGACGCCGGATTTCTCCAGTGCGGGCTGTAGGAGGGTCGTGTAGTATGGGTCTTCGGCGCCGACGGCGCCGATCATGTTCACGCACACATCTTGGGTTGTTTGCGATGTGAAGGAGGCGCGGCCACAGGCTACGGCTTGGTTTCCGCCTTTGCCACCTGCTGAGACGGTTAGGGAGGTTGCTGTGAGGGTTTCGCCTGGTCCTGGGCAGCGAGGGGTTGCTGTTACGAAGTCGATGTTTAGGGAGCCGATTATGCTGATTTGGGGTTTTTGGGTGGATTGTGGGGTCTTGGTTGGGGTTGTGATAGCCATTTTGGTAGTTTGAGATGGGTTGGTGTTCGGGATGTTTAGGAGCTTGATGTGGGCTGTCGCGGGTTAAATTGAATTCATGGATGTAGAGGGTTTAATTGTTTCATATATGTCGCGCCGCATGACCTTTCTTATTTTTCGCTCGGTCGGGATCTCGACCTTCGGCATGTCATAGCTCCATCTTTCACGTCCCGAAGTCTTCACGTGTTGCCTGATGTGGGAGTTGTAGGCTATGTTTATCCCAAATAGGTTAGCGCGCTTTATTTACGCCAAATATGGCCTAGCGTACCTAGGTAGGCACCTTTCTGACTAAAAGGGGAAGTCGCCGCATTTTGCCACGTGCTTTACCCCGGTGTTCTGACGGACCATGTTCTTACCTAGGTACATAGCGAGCGCTGTTTCAAGACTCATCTTAGTATCCTAATGTTTTCGATAGCTCAGCGGGTACCTTTGGAACGCCCCATAGCCCGATGGACTCGCAATTTTAAAACCGCCATCCTAGAAAGGGCATAAACAGCCACCAGAAGTCCGGCAGTCAGCATCCAGCCTCGCAACTGTCTTTTGCATTGATGGCAGGGGAGGATGTTGATGCCTACAGCTAATTGTACAGCATGTTCTTCCATCAGTAGCATGGATTTCTAGACCTGGCAAATCCGGGTGGAGCGTGGAGCTTAAAAAGCCATTACTTCGAGACTCTTCAGTTGGGTATGAGATCCGGGAGCCATAGGGTAGGAAGGATAGGGGTTGAGCTTGGAATAAGAGCATTCTTAGCCAATTTAAATACCCAAAGATATATAAACAATCAGATTTCATAGTTTAGAGCCTAGCTTCTTCAACAACTCAATATCATCTCTCACATTCCACCATGCACCTTGACGGCTCTGTAGACCTCTCTCCACACAATCATCCTAATTACAGTTGTAGACAAAGCTAGAAAGCTAATAGAAAGCTACTTAGAATGCTCAGCAAATAGATGCCATGTAAGCTCATTATTTCCCCACGCCATCCAGTTCAGAGCGGCCTGAATCACTGAAATCACCCCGACCGGGGTGGAAATTGGGTGGAAAATATATATCGCTGTCAGCAGCCCCTCTGATCGCTGTGATCTCGACACCATCACCGGCGAAAGAAGACACAAATACTTTTCCCATCAAGCTTGAGCTGCGCAGGCAGATTGGCATACTGCGCGATCTTCGCACCGACTGCACTGCCCTGGCTAGTCTACCACCAGTTGAAATCAAAAGAGATGAACACTTTCATGCTATTGTTGGCGGCAGATTGATACGCAAACCCCAGCTGCGTGCCCGTGTAAGAATTAGTGCCAATGTTTAAGGCGAAAGCGTCGATGCCTGCATATTGGGCGCGCTTCATATCGTCGCCATAGTCGCTAGCACTCTGGCGGTTGCTAACGATGCCAACCTAACGAGAGTTATTACTTGGACTCACGATCCAATGGAAAATACTGGAGCGCCATGCTATGAAATGGTAGAAAACCAGTTTTTTTCCATGATTCTCATCAGAATTAGCCATGGTATTCAGTTGGAAACGAGGACGCTATAACGAAGGGTATGAGGCCAAGCAGGGCCACAATCGGTCCCGACAACATGAAGTTCGGAATGCATGCGTGGGTTAGCATACGATCACAACGAAAGCTCGCAGTGAAAAGAATAAGAAAAAGAGAATGCGCTGTCACATTACGATATTGATATGCGCATTTGGCTAAAAAGCGCATTGCCTACTTTCTCGCTCACTTCTTAGATCCAGCGTTTCGAGAAAATAGATAATAAACGTTCGTGGTAAACGTAATGAGGAATTTACCAAAAAATAGAGGAAGGAATGAAACTGGAAATCATTGATGCCTGCTATAAACAAAATTGTATGAAAGAAACCCGCCCTGATGCGTGTCCCAAGGCAAGTAAATCCCCACTAATCGCGGAACAACTAGGCTGAAACTCAGGAGGAAGCCGTAGTACACTTTTACCGTTCAGGTTAACCCACTGTCCTTGCTCAATGAAGATCGCCAAATTCCTATTGGTTAAATTAGAAGCATGATTTTCGTGCCCGGACTGAACATCGAGGATGCCTGAATTGGAGATCAGATATGAACCTTTATGAGAAAATTCGAGTCTGGTGACAGCTCCCTTGGCGTTCAAAGTCTGCTGTAGGTCGCCCGTCGCCGTGTCCCAGAGCCGCACGGCGCGATCGCGGGCGCCAGACGCCAGCAGCCGGCCGTCGGGCGAGAAGGCCACCGAGGAAACCGAGTCCGAATGGCTCTTAAGAGTCTGCTGCAGGCCGCCTGTCGCCGTGTCCCAGAGCACGGTACCATCGCAGGAGCTAGCTGCCAGCCGCCGGCCGTCGGGCGAGAAGGCCATTGAGAGAACCCAGTCCGAATGTTTAAGAGTCTGCTGCAGGCTGCCCGTTGCCGTGTCCCAGAGCCGCATAGTGCGATCGCGGGAGCCAGACGCTAGCAGCCGGCCGTCGGGCGAGAAGGCTACCGAGGAAACCGAGTCCGAATGGCCCTCGAGGGCCTGTAATTCTGCACTCCATTTTTCCTCAACTCTTGGTAACTGGGATATCCAAGTGGGGAACTCTGCTTTGAACTCTCTCCGAATAATAGACATTTGGGGGGCAAATGTAAGTCCTGCGCAATAAACCTGAAGAGGCGTCTCGTCGGCTATTTGGCGATTTTTAAGAATGAATCGCTTTGCATCTTCAAGAAAGGCACCTAGCCGAGGTGACTTTATCTGCTAGTTAGTATCAATTTTTTGGTTCTAGTTCAACGTCACTGACCTTTGCTAGGGACTGTAAAGCTGTAATATTTCTAATCGTTTCCGAAAACCATCTAAGAAGGCCTATCACTTCTAACCAATATAAGAAATGCAACTTCAAAAAGTCTTCTATTAGTGTCCAGTTTATGCCCGACTGGTCACCATTCTCTATATGGCGTATCCAGTATCGATATGCGTATCGAAGCTTAGGTGGAACATAACTCGAAAGTACCGTCTTTTTAATCTCATCCTTCCTGTTATGGACAGGCTAGTTGCCAATCGATGGCAACCCCACACGCTGCACGGACGGGCCGTCGAGACCCAATCGACCAATTCTGCCTACCCACACCGCCGCAGCCAGAGATGGTTTTTCAGGGGGAAAAGCCACACCGCCTTCCTAAGCAGGATCACGTGACCGTGACTCCCGCGTCGACTCCAGGAGTATATTCAGGAGTAGGAGAACTTAGGGATATATAAGGACACTCATTCCCAGTATCTAGTTTAGTTCTTCGTCTTCAATTACACATTGTTACTAGTGTTTACCTTTGGATTACCAGTGTGACTTCTTACTTGATTATAACTCGACAACACCCATCAATTGACCAATACCTCGGTATAGATCAATTGAGCGCTCTACCTGGCATCCTTCCTCGATACCCTCAAAAGGACCTAACCTGCAGTAAGGCCTGTTGGCAACAGTACGGTTGAGAGACAGATCGTTGACGTTGGAAGATCAGAGATCCCCTGTGAGTATAACCCGTGATCTACTAACCTTAACTGTACCAGTTTGCAGTGCGTAACACTTCCTTACGCCCGGGTTTGAAAGACGGCCTATATCTCTCCTCAATTCTCGATTTATACACTTAAGACAATCCTTGGCAAGCTGTGTATGACCTGCCAGTTCGTTAATCTAGAACTTATCTGATGCTGAACGATCAACTAGAAATTCTCGAAACGAGAGATGAAGAAGCTGAATAGGGGCATCTATATCTTTTGGCAATAATACCACAGACTAGAGAGTACTAAGTCTTCCTTAGACTTTCGTTTTGCCTAGATAAATGAGCTTGTCTAGGGAGGCGGATGAGAGTGGGCTGAAGAGAAGAACGATGGCACCCACGACTCGGCGAAAGTCATCTATCTAGTATCTGAGTTCTTTCGACTCTTTCTGCGATATAATATGCTTTAAACCTAGGAGATAGATACCGGTCAACTTTGAGTACTCGCCGTTAATTTTCTCCATCCCGTGATTCCCGTCGCTCGAGTGTGAAGATAATATAGCTTGTAGTCGGTTGTCCGGCAGTTCTCTATCACAATTGATGAATCGATATATTATTACGGCAAAAATGAATAGAGGAATAGCTATATTTACTAGGGCCTTAAAATTCTCTTCCCCGGGCCAGCTTTTCGCTAGTCCGTGATTATCTCTTATTCTCTTAAGCCTTTCGCGGAGAAAGAGTGATATATCATGCTCGATAATCGATCTCTTAATCTGATAGAGAATGATTTTATTATTACCGATCGGTCGAAACCCCTTAATGACGGGTGGTTCTGGCCTACTAGTGATAAAGACTCGTAGTTAGATATCTTTTAAGTCGGTCAACTTAGGCAAAGTCGAAAAAATAGCCGCGATATCAGCTGGCACTTGACACTCGTCTAGGGCATCGATGACAACCACTAGGATCAACGGAGATTTTAATCTAAGATTAAGGCTCTTAAGTGGCTTAAAAAGCAATTCGTTGAACTATTCTTGTGGGTTGTTACTTCCAATACCACGCGTTGCCTTAATTGCCCTCTTGACTAGTCCCTGAAGATGAGGTAATCTTTCTAATATTTGTTTGGTAAGCGTGGTGAAGAGTCGTTTGGCGTCTTCTCGGTCTGTTCCACCCTTCTTAAAGAAGAAGCTGCCACCTAGCAAGCCCTGGTCGTCTAACCACCGAGCCACTATCCGTGATATAGTTGACTTTCCCGTTCCTACTATACCCTACAGCCAAAATATAGCTTTCCTATCTAGATCGGTAGCCCAGCTTTTAATGTCCCTAAGGAGTTCACTTCGAGTCTCTTATAGATATTCTTAACGCTCCTCTCCGGTATTCGCATTATAATAAGCGTCCTCTACAATCTTGAGCTCCGTAAGGACTATCTTGCCATCTAGTTCATTAAGTGAGTCTATCACTTAGTCAATATTAGTAAGCATTCTATCCGCCTTTTTGAGAAGCTGCTTTCCCCTATCTCTCTGTTCACGCCGGTCGACTATCTTAAGCCATCGGCCTAGATATGACTCTGCCTTATTAATGGATTTTTAGAGATCGGAAAGAGAATCTCTAGAGATGCTCTCCCAGATCAAGACGGCACGATTGCGGTCATAAAGTGACTGGACTTAGGTAGCGAACGTTAAAACTGCGACGTATACCTGGACGAGAGCTGTCTCAATGTATTGGTCGGTATTCGGGTCCTTTTGATATTCCCCCTCTACCAAACTATACCGGGTAAGAACGTCTGCGAGAAAGGCGTAAGATTCCAGCTAAGCTAGTTTCTGACTACGATAGTTTTGCGTCATCTAAAAGTCGCTTCTATTAGTTACTTGTTTAAATGGAGAAAAGACGAGCATATAATCAACCCTAAAGACATAACTACCCAGACGCTGGTTGCGTGTCCGGTCGGATCAAATGCCACAGCTGCCTAGATAAGGTCCTGAAAGCTAAGAACAGCCTTAATGATCTTTTGGGCTGGTTCTTTAATCCTGGATTTTCCTTGGTCGATTTCATATTGGGTCTTCACGGTTTCGACTACCCCATTTAGTGCCTTTAAACGGTCCACGACACCGGGATCGGCGTTCACATCATTAGAGTCGATATTTTTGTTGGATTTTAGTATCAATATAGACTCGATTAGTCGTTTCTTTTTGGGCTCAAGGTCATTAAAAGCGCGTTGCCACAGATCTTGGTTCGTAGCAGAGGCGGATGCATGGTGGATCGAAGAAGCATCCACAGATTGATTCCTTTATCTAGACTGGAAATTCTTCTTGTCGTCCTTATCCGAGTGCTGCCTTCTAAAGATTTGTCTGAACTTTTCACGGACCATGGCTGGCCAGAATGAATCGTCAGTTTGATTATGTGGAGGATTTACTGATTGAGAAATGAAAAAGTTGGGCAGAATCTAGGGTTAAAAGCGGGGTAGAAAGGGGTCTGGCGCTTTTGGATCACACAGCCCCAACTGGAGGATGTTTGCTTTTGGTGGGCAATTAAATATATGTTGGCACTACTCTGTACTGATCCTCGAATGACTCAAATCCTGCCTCCATCGCGCCTTCTAACCTCCCAAGCTCGATATTTTGATTGATGCGATCGGCGTTACGCGACTGAGATGTAAAAGTTCGGGTTTATGAAATAGACTGGGCTTTTCTGGGGAGATAGAGAGGGTAAAATTAGGCGCCGGGTATGAGGCTGTGATCCAGAGGGTAACTAGTGAAGGCGCCAATATGACCAGTCATGCGTTCCTTTAGTGAGTGAAAAGCTAAGTCTAAGAAATGCAATCACAGCATTTCACAAGATTAAAGGACTACCATATATTCAAGGTGAAGTAGTACGACTTTATTCTTTGCTCAAGAGAACACTGGCGGAATTTGTCTAGTGAGTGCAGTACTGGTTGGTCCTGGCTGGTTGACGGCATTAACACTCGGCCCGAGCCGACCCAGACCCATCTCCGTACACTGTGGCGGAGCGACCGCAGCCATTATGGCGCCCAAGACTTGCACCCTCCCAACTTGAAATGATCCGCGACATGATTAGCAGTCAATCACTGGCTGGCTACTTTTCAGATGGCCAAAGCAGCTGGCTGCAGCAAAGGTTCGATCATAACGATCAGTGCAAACCTCTGAATGTTTGGCGATGTCCGAGCACCTCTGATCCCAGGTGGCCGTCCACATGTGATCAGCCCATTATGCTCGAATCGCTGTACGACCACTTACTAGAGGAACCGTATTTATGCCTAGATGAGATGGTAGATTTGTTGTCCGATGGATTTGAGGTCGTATCCACATACACTATCAGTCGGGCCCTTCGATCGCATGGCTGGACTAAGAAGGTGGCTCGACAGAAAGCACAAGAAAGGAATGCGGATCTGAGGGACCGCTATCTGTATCAGCTATCAGATTTCTGCTCGAACCATTTAGTCTACATAGATGAATCAAGCTGTGACAAACGGGCTGGCTTCAGGAGGACTGGCTGGTCTCCCAGCGGCGTGGCACCTGTCCAGGTTTCCCGTTTCCAGCGGGGTCAGCTTTACCAAATTCTCCCAGCATACTACCAGGATGGCATTTTAATGTCACGACTTTTCCAAGGGTCGACTAATGCTACAATGTTCGAGGATTTTATTGAACAGCTTCTCCATCACTGCGGCAGATGGCCGGAGCCAGAGCCTGTCCTCATCATGGACAACGAGTCTTTCCACCGTACTAAACGGATAAGAGAGCTCTGCTCAAACGTTGGTGTCAAGTTGTTATACTTACCACCGTACTCACCTGGTTTGAACCCAATTGAGGAGCTCTTTGCAGAGCTCAAAGCATTTGTAAGACGGAATTGGCAGAAGCACGCAGCTCAAGATTTCAAAGACTTTTTCGAATGGAGTCTAGATGTCGTTGGAGCAAGGGGTGCAATTGTACAAGGTCGTTTCCGACATGCGAACGTTGAGGTTGAAGAACAATGCAAAATAGATACTGTAGTGAGGGATCCAGGTGTGGCTATTACGGTTGGGCGTTTCGGGCTGTTTATGCCGGAGGCATCTCCGCCCAGCAGCTGAATAGGTCTATCCTGTATGGGAGGACTCTGTCATCTACACATATCCCACTTGTTTTC